ATACTATAGTGGCCTTAATAAGTAGAATATGGTTTTTGGGGCCCATTATAGTATATTTATAGTAAGGAACCCCCCAAAATAGTATTGGTACTTATCTAGGCCCCTATAGCAGGCGTGGCGTGGCAGCCGCCTGCACGGTCTGCTAGGGATCTCCCGTTGCCAACATCTGCTGCAGGGAGAGCTACCCAGACCCCCTAAAATGAAGGAACCCTGTATACTAAAAGCTTGAACCCTACACCCTAAACCCTAAAAAGGAGCCCTACAAGGAACCCAACCCTAAACTCCCCTAAACCCTTAACCCCCTAAGCCCTAAGCCCTAAACCCTGAACCCCTCAAACCCCCCCAAACCCCCTAACCCAGTAAACCCTGAACTTCCCTCAACCCTAAACGCTGAACCCTAAACCCCTAAACCCTAAACCCTAAACCCCTAAACCCTGAACCCTAAATCCTAACCCCCCTAAGCCCTAAGCCCTAAGCCCTAAACCCTGAAACCCTCAAACCCTAAACCCCTAAACCCTTAACCCCCTAAGCCCTAACCCCCCTAAGCCCCAAGCCCTAAACCCTGAAACCCTTAATCCCTTAAACCCCTAAACCCTTAACCCCCTAAGCCCTAACCCCCCTAAGCCCTAAGCCCTAAACCCTTAACCCTTAACCCCTAAACCCTTAACCCCCTAAACCCTAACCCCCCTAAGCCCTAAGCCCTAAACCCTTAACCCCTTAATCCCTTAAACCCTGCCCACCTCATCATCAGACTCAAGAGCTCCCTCGGGCTTGCCCTGGTACTGCCCGGGGGGTGTCTGGGGTTTAGGGTTTAGGGTTTAGGGTTTAGGGTTTAGGGTTTAGGGTTTAGGGTTTAGGGTTTAGGGTGCTTTTTACGAACTTTGCGAGTGCTCCTCTGGACTCTAGGGTTCAGGGGTTTTGGGGTTTAGGGTTTTGGGATTTAGGATTTTGGGGTTTAAGATTTTGGGGTTTACGGTTTAGGGTTACTTGTATAAGGCTTACAATAAGGATTGCTATACTGCTATACGGAATGCTATCAATGGGCAAAACGAGGGCTCTTATAAGGGCTGCGGCAGTAAGGCTGTAAGCAGGATGCCACCAATGATTCGGATACCCAGACACTCCCACACCCCTCCTTCAAACACATACCTACCTAAACTCACGTTCAGTATCACTTCTGAAACCTCAAGCATTGTTTCAATGAGGCAGAAACCCTAAACCCTAAACCCTAAACCCTAAACAGTAGGAGTCTGTGGGTCACCCCAAACTCACTTTCAAGTCTGAGTCACCTGAAAACTTCAGCGGCAAGGCCGACTGCTCTGTGTCTGCAGCTGTTCGTGCGTGGTACGGTTGATGATATAAATCCTGCATTACCTTAAGGACCCTTAACTATGGGAATTCTGGTATACTCCTTATTATGGGAAATGCAGGATTTAGATCATCAACCTTGTGTAAGGGTTCTAGAAGGCTGCTGCTCCTGGGTTGGGGCCATAGGGTTTAGGATACTTGGAGTTATAAGTGGAGTTATACGTCCCCTAACATAGGTTATTACTATAGTTACCCTACTTATAACCCTACTTACAACTACCCCTGAACCTCCAAGCAGAAAGCCATGGCACCATTAAAGCAACATGGAGATCACCCTACAAACACATGTCTGTTTTGGCTGTTCAACAGTACCTCAGCTGACTTAGTTTTCAAATCCGACTTAGCTCCCGAACCTCAGTTCGACGGTTAGGGTTCAGGGTTTGAGGGTTGAGGGTTGAGGGTTGAGGGTTTAGGGTTTAGGGTTTAGGGTTTAGGGTTGAGGGTTAAGGGTTTAGGGTTCAAAGGTTGAGGGTTGAGAGCTTTGGGTGTTTAAGGCTTAGGGTTTAGGTTCAGGGCCTCAGAGCTGAACTCGTGTTGCCCCTACTTGCAGGATGGGGTTCTTATACAGGCCCAAAGGGCCCTAGGTACTGTTCTGAGGCATACCTCCCAAAATAAGAATAGTAATTCCTAATATAAAATCCTTAAATTCTACTAAGCCCTACAGCCTAAACCCTAAACCCAGAAAACCTACAGTCTACAGTATAGGTACTTCGGCCCCGTTGGGAGGGATTTCGCTTTACGTTGCAGCCCCTGCTTAAACCGACCGTGTTCGATCCCAGGACCCCGACCCCCGAGAGGATCCAAAAAGTAGATCCCTTAATGGGTGGTTTCTATAAAGAGCCGTTAGTAGTACCTTAATGGGGGTTCCAAAAAAGTACCTCAAGGGGGGTTCCTATAAAGAGCCCTTAGTAGTACCTTAATGGGGGTTCCTATAAAGAGCCCTTAGTAGTACCTTAATGGGGGTTCCTATAAAGAGCCCTTGGTAGTACAGTGTCCCAAATTAGGGGAGCTACTTTCTAGATCCATCCGGGGGTCTGGGGATGTGGGCTCGGTGAAGGGTACTTTAAGGGCGCCTTTAAGGGCACTAAGAGGGTTTTGGGTTCAGGATATTCAATATCGACTAGGGTTTCGATCGTAGAAATTACTACGGTAGCTTCGGAAAAATATCGCCGATATAGGTACTGAGGACCCTGTGCGTATATTTGGAGGTTCATGGGACTCAGTAAGTACAGCTATAAGTACCTTAATTGGGGCTATAAGTGATTATAAGTACAGTTACCTTATCTTTAAGCCTAGTTACTAGTCCCATGAACCTTGAACCCTAAACCCTAAACCCTAGTCACCAAGTCCCATGAACCCTAAACCCTGAAGCCTAAACCCTAGTTACTAAGTCCCATAAACCTTTAAGTACTCGAAGCATAGAGCTGGCCTGCTCAAGCCTTTCGCGGTGGATCTGACCTCACATGGAGGGAGCTAAGCAGCGTAAACCCCAAAACCCGAAACCCAAAGCCCACAGCCTAAGCAGTCTTGCGGATGTTGAAAGCAGACTTTCCGGGTGTTTGGTTGAAAGTGTGATTGGCAGCGCTACTGCGAGGGACAGCGAAAGCCATGCAGCCGTCGACAGCGACCGGAGTGGCCATGATTCAGATCCACAGCAGCAACAGTGGCGATTATGCATTGTGCCGTACAAACGCTGAAGACACTGTAAGACAATAGGATTGGGTGACACGATCCTAAGTTCTAACCCCGAGAACCTCTTCTCGACAGGCAGGCAAAGGGTATAAGAGCCGAAATAAGACCATGTGCTGCCGAATAATGTACCTTGGGAAGAGAAGTGGCCCTACGACTCCATTATGCTAGGACGAGTTCCCTTTCTCCACGGTACCCTTACTGCAGGTAATTCCGCAGCCCCAAAATCCTGAACCCAAGCCCTACTCCTTAATCTAAGCACTAACCCCTTAGCCCCAAAATCTTAACCCGAAGCCCTACCCAAAGCCCTAAACTGGGTCCCTGTTAGGGCTATATTGAACATGATCATGTTTAATCCTTATTGGGTTTTTGTGTAACAAAATGTAAGATTGTATCCAACAAGGACCCAGTAAAACTTAAACCCCAAGCCCAAGACCCTAAACCCTAAACCCTAATCCGGCCCTGCGTCCCTGAGGGGCCGGACGTTGCCGGAGGAAGCCGGTAATGCAGCTCAAGACCATGGAAAGACCTCAGAGCTTAGCTGAAGTTCAAGTTTTAGAGTTAGGGGTTTGAGCACTTGTTTAGGTTTAGGGCTTAGGGATGATAGGGGTTTTCGGGATTAGGGATTGGGCTTTAGGGCTTTGGGCTCATAGGGTTTAGGTTTTAGACTTCCAGACGGGGTTTAAGTTTTGGGACGACGCCCTGAGCTTGTAATATGCGTTTGGGCTTAGCCACCTCAAGATTTGAGACGGTTTACGCTTTAGGAAAAATAAGATAGAGTTAAGGGCTGAGGGGCGTTAGGCGGGTTTAAGGTTTAGGACTTGTGCCAAACCGCTGTTTGGTCTGAGATTTGGGCTCTGTTGCTGGCTAGAGGGTGCATGCAGGTTGTTACGACTTAGGGTTACGTTTTGGCGACAAAGGGCCCTTGTGGCCATGTAGCTCTGCTTGGGTCTTACCGTTAGGGTGCCCTGAAGGAGACTGTCTCGGGTCTCGATTAGTGATCCGCCTTTTTGTCTTTTTGTCCACCCCCGTGCCCACTGCTTTGGGTTTAGGGTTTTGGGCTGGTCTGTAAAACTCCTTGCTGCGGAAAATATCACGAGGTGACAATACTGACAAGTGGTGGCTGTGCTGGTCATGGTTGCGGCTGCGGCTGCTGCGTGTCCTGTTGTTGCGGTTACTTCGTCCGTTGCTGTTGGTCTTGGGTGTTCCCGCTGCAGCTCGGTGTGTCGCAACATGATCGGTCGAAACCGCTGTCTCTCTAGTCGTCGCTGTAGCCGTCGTCGCTGAAACTTATTAGGCTTGCCTCCCCTAACTCCCCAAACCACCATCACGGCCGAGCCCTCGGTAATCCAGATATCCGTGAGCAGCATAAGAGGTATGTGGTATGAGCATTGAACTTGCTACTCCATAGTGCCGGAGGAGACATAGCCTTACTGGCTCTGAACCCTCAAGCGAAAACAAGGCCTGACTCTGAACCTTCAGGCTTTTATATTAAAAAATGTAGAAACCCTAGCACCTACAGCAAAGCCCTGTTCTCATTGTCAAGGCCCCTACATTAGAGAATCGCGTGTCAATTAGAGTACTTGAAACTATCCCTGAACCCTACAGCCCAAAACCCTATAAACCTACACAGTATTCCCAAAGCAATGCTACACCCGCCGGACTAGTATCCATAGTTTGTCCGACCCCTTGACTGAACCCTTACCCATCACAGCCACCCTTCAAGGGTCCAGAAGAGCAACATGTATCTAGGCCCCTCTATTAGACTACAAGCTGTGGATGAAAACTCCTAAACTCCAGACCCTAAACACCAAGCCTGGCCCAAGCCCCTAAACCCCCAACCATTGAACCCAAACCCTTCGTACACCCCCAACCTGTAAATTACTAAACTAAACCCTAAACCCTAAACCTGTAAATAACTAAACTAAATTCAACATCAGTACGTCTACATCTCAGACCCGAAAGCAACTGTGGATCCGACCCCAGCGTGCCACAAAGACCGAGGCCACCGAGGCGACGAGAACCCTCAGCGTTCAGGCTTTTGGGGTTTAGACGTTTTGTGTGCGTTACTTTTCGGCTTTGTAGGTTTCTGTATAATGAATTTTCAATAGGGTTTTACAGGTGTTCATGGGTCTGTGAAACGTGCTTGACTCCATATACTTACATATGGGTGGTTGTCAAAATTAGGGTCCCTTTTTGGGTCCTTATTATAATACGGCACCTATTATTTAGGGGTACCCCCAAAGGGACCATAATTTTGACAACTACCCATACAGAGCCTGATGAATCGGCAGTCAATTCCTCAACGCCGCTAGGACTGCTGCACCTGTCAAGCCCGGTGCGCGCGCTCGGCAGAATTCAACCGGGTAGACCGGCAAATAAGGTTCCCAGCCAGACGGAAAGAAACCTTCCCTTGAATCTAAAGCCCGAGACCTCAGACCCGTAACCCTCAACCTCACTGGTCTGATTTTAAAGGGTCCTAGGTACTGTTATGGCGCATACTTCCCCAAGTCATAATGGTAATTCCTAGTATAGAAACCCTACAGTCTACTGTATAGGTACTTTGGACCCTTGGGGATTATAAAGGCACCGTAAGCCTTACACGGACGAGTCACAGGACACTGGGGTCCCGGCACGATACCGTAGGTCCAGGTTTCCTCCTTAATTGGAGGGCCATGGCCAATGTTTGAGCATTTATAGGGATTGGAAGTTGGGTCAGGATTTCCGGACTCCGGATTTAGTTTGTAGGAGTTCGGGGTGCTGCCCTGTCTAAGTCGCAGTTTGAACCTTGAAACCTGAACTCTAACTGTACACGACAAACAGTGCTCTGTTCCATAGATGTGCAGTTGACCGTGGGATTTGGGGCTGAGCAACTAACACAGCAAGAAGTATTTATGTACGGTCACTGAGAACATGCCGACTAAGTCAGGAATTGACCAGCGAAATTCATCCATCACCACCATCATGATCATCATCACCATCACCATCATCACCATCATCACCATCATCATCACCACCACCATCATCATCATCCTCATCACCATCACCAGCACGAGCACCGTCATCATCGTCACGATCATCAACATCACCATCTTCACCATCCTCCTCCTCCTCCTCCTCCTCCTCCTCCGCCTCCGCCTCCTCCGCCTCCTCATGATCATCATCATCATCATCAAAACCAGACTCATCACCGTCATCAAGTCATTTTCGTCGTCAATATCATCATGACTATCGTCGTGACCATTGTCACCCTCCATGTCATAGCCGCCAACTGCACCACCCAGCCCATCATTCACAGCATGATGCACCATAATAACTAATAACACCATGTAAAGCGATCACAATACTAATCACCATCGTCTCTGCAACAACCACATCTGGAGCTTAACTCCTTCATCTCGCCATCTGGCAGCTGGCATCCGGGAATGCCTTATGCCCTGAGTCCCTCAACCACAAACCCTGCAGACCTGCACACAAGGAAACATACGGATGAACTCAGGTCCAGCATGGTTGCTTGTAAGGTTGTGCACTTGTTCCTCAACATAAACCCTAAACCTAAGCTCTAAACCCTAAACCCCTAGACCCTAAACCCAAAACGCCAAACCCCAAGCTTGTTCAGCCCATCAACAGCAACAGGATCTCAGGTCCGCGGCAGGTGTGGGTGCATAGAGGTCGCTGGTAACCAGTGCGAAAACCTTTCGCTTCTGCGAGATGGAGGATAAATTGAACTACAGCGGTTCTTACGACTATGATGATGTCATGTAGCAATATGTATATATATATATATATATGCACATAGGGAGCGCAACGTCTTTTTCTTACCGAATGTTCAGGCGATCGCTTATGCTTGTCGGGCTTAAGATGCGTTTGCTGGACATTTTCCTTCAAGCAATATGTGAAGAATTGTTAGGATACTTACTCATGGTGGCCTTTTTGGGTACCCCTAAACCCTAAACCCTAAACCCTATGATATAAGGACTGCCTGGAACCTAAGGGTCATAAGCCCCGTCAAGGACTTCACAGCCTTGCGATTGGGAGATCAGTCTCCGGGGGTGTAGGGTTTAGGGTTTGGGGTTACCCTAAAGGTCCCCAAGTACCAAATAGTGAGTTTTTTTCGGAGGATCCATGGACCCATATGGTAGATATGTTGGCCCTGAAGTACCTATATAGGGACTACATTACGGCCGAAGTATATACCATGGGGGGACATGGACTCTCAGGGCTTTAGGACCCAGAAGCTATCCCTCCGAATGGTTTTGGGTGCCTCAAAACCAGAATAAATTTAGGGCTTGCTTGAAGGTTCATGGGACTCAGTAACTAAGGCTTTTAAATAAGGTAACTATACTGGTAATTACTGATGACCCCAACTAACGTACTTATAACTTATAACTGTACTTATTCCCCTAAACCCTAAACCCTAAACCCTAAACCCTAAACCCTAAATATTAGGTCCCATGAACCTCCAAGTCGGGGTTTAATTGAGCACTTGGACCCTTAGAGCTCTGCAGTTAGTCACGAAGCGTTGCTGCTCCCGGGCTCGAAAACAGTACGGTCTAGGGTCTAGGGCTTCGCATAGCGTCAACCTTAATAAACAAGTCCCTTATACTATGGACCCCTACTAATTTCTCTACCGCAAGGGGCCCTGAAACAAGGACCCGAATTTAAAGGACTACCCATGTGGTGCTTGAACTTTAAACCCTATAGGGGTCATTTCGTCATTTAAGGATGTCTAAGCCTGAGCTCAAGCTCTAGAGGGGTCTCTTGCAGGGTCGGGGGACCTAGCAAGCAGTTCTGTTATGGACGCCACTCTACCGTTCTGAACCCGAAGCCCGTTGCAAGCCCTGAAGCCTTACTAGGAGGGTCGGGGACTTAGTAAGTAGTTGTTTTACAGACTTACAAGTATCATACCCCGAGTTTGGATCCCCTGTAGGGTTAATGCCTACTTACTAAGTCCCCCGCCCCTCCAAGCAACGACTATGCAATGAATGGAAATGGGGGCCCAAGGCCCAACAGCCGCCACCTGGATCTTCCAGTACGCCTTAATGAAGGAGTATACCTTGAATGATAGTAGGATGTCTCGTCTTTCATCAAGGGGGTATTGGAATATCTGGGTGATCAAACTCATGAGAAGCTGAGGTATCCAAGCCTCTCGAAGGTCAGGAAAACCCGTGGCCCAAGAGCTGTGGCCCTAGCCCCAACAAGCTTGATGAAGTTGTTCAGAGCAGGGCCGCTGGTATCCTGCAGGAAGGATCGTGGCAGCTAAGTCATCGGGCACCCCAAAACGCTGCGAAGTAAACCCTAAACCCTAAACCCTAAACCCCTAAACCGTAACAAGAGGACACGATTCAGTCTGCAAGTGTGTCAAATCACCCGATCCTAGCTCTGACACCACGGCGTCCCCTAGTAAGGCCTCGAAGTAGAAACTGTAGGGATACTTGCATTCACCCAAAGGGTCCAAAATACCTATGTAGTAGGCTGTATTGTCTCTATATTAGGAATTACTATTATGATTTGGGGAAGTATGCCCCGTAACAGTGCCTAAGACGTTTTTGGTCATACACCCTCGACAGGCCCCTCTCGTCTTCTCAACCATGGAGAAGAGAGTGAATCTCAGAAGCTTCGTGGTCAAGGGGACTAATTTGTAAGGCTGCCGAGTTTGCTACAAGATATCAAAGGTCTCTGAGTTTTGAGGTACTGGTTTCAGCAGGGAGAGCATCTGCAAATTGTGCAGTTGGCTCACAAGCTCGGCTGAGCCTTGTAACTAGGGTTCTATAAGGTTGGCTCTTTAAGCGCTGAAAGGTTTATGAGTCGAGTGCGGGCGAACACGTGCTGTATTGGAGCATCGGTTGGAATTTATGTTTTTGGGCGTGGGAGGAGAGCTTAACGCAAAAATCCCAGAAAGATCCCCTACACCCTAAACCCTCACCCGTCGGAGTTGCAGGTTTAGGAGTTTGTGGACCATCACCGAACTTTCTGAGTCGTCTCACCGAGTAGGGTTTTCAAGAGCTTTAGTGGCCTTAATAAGGGCGTTACATCTCTGAAAGCAATAGCCAGAAAGTTGGAACATCATTATCCTCATGCCCTTAAAGTAAAGTATAGGAAATCCCAGCACTAATCATCCTAATTCTTCCTGGGGTTCACTATATGTAGGAGCCTGAACAACTCGAATTGGTTTTGAAAGGTTAAATATGGTTTTCTGAAGGTTTTTTAACAAAGAGCAAGGGTTGTTCATAGTGTCCTCTTTGCTTCGGCCAGGTGTTTAACTAGTTTCTACAGGGACTTTCAGGTATCTACTCAGGATTCAATAAGGATTCATACTAAAGGACCCTGTGTAGCTAGAGTAGGATTGTGATTCGACTGTGGGGTAAAGACTGGTACTGTAATCTATGGGGACCACAAAGGGATAGTATCTGGTGTTCATGTATTGTTCTTATTCGGACCGCAATGATCCAGGCCTTAGAATTTAGGGTCTGTGGATATAGGCTGGCCAGTGGCACGGCTCAAGGCTTGGCATGCACTGTCCAGGTCTTCACCCTAAACCCTAAACCCCGAAAGCCCAAAATCCTACAAACCTAAAGCCCGCAACTTCCAACCCCAAACTCCTTCTGCACCCAAACATGGGCCCCTACAATGACCGCCCGCGTACCCGAATCGAGGGTATTCGGGAAAGGTCGAGGGTAGTTGCAGGGTCTAGATAGACCATCATTTACAACAAGCGTAGACGTTTCTCGGACGGAAAGAAGGGTTCTAAACACGCGCACACCTGAAATCTAAACCCTAAACCCTATAAATCCTGAAAACCCTATAAATCCTATAATTCCTAAAACAACTCTGAACCCCAAACTCGACTCAAAAATGGCCGGCGGTCCTCAAAAGGACCGCCGATCATCTCTCCAACCTCAGTTCCCTTTGGGGTACTTGGGGTATTTGGGGTCTAATAGGCTTAGGGTTTAGGGTTTAGGGTTTAGGGTTTAGGGTTTAGGGTTTAGGGTTTAGGGTTTAGGGGTTACCCTCACGGTTAGGGTTTAAGGGTGTAGATGGACAAAATCCTGCATGACCTTATATACCTAAAATATGGGATTTATGGTATCATACTATATTTGGGTCATGCAGAATTTTGTCCATCAACAGTAGGCCCCATAGTAGTTCCTTGTTGTGGCTTATATGTAGGATCCTAGTAGGCAATCCCAAAAAGGAACTACTATGGGGCCTGTGGCGTAGTTATGGTTTAGAGGGTATCAGGGGACAGAGCTTAAGGTCTTCCAGGTTTGTCGGGGGTTTAGGGGTTAGGGTCTTCGTTGCATCGTGTAGGATCAGAGCAACGGACTGAAGAATGAGATACGCAGATCGTTTATTTACAACATCTGAAATGACTCTTTGGACTCATGTAAGACCTGAAACATCTGAGGCATGAGGGTGGAAGACAGTAGCATGAGGGATTTGGGTCTGAGAAGTCCAGGGCCCAGGGTCCAAGGACCTGAGTTTGACGAGCTCACGAGTGCGGTGTTTCGGATTCAAAGATTTGGGGCCTCATGGTTTCGGGGTCAGGTCAATATCTAAGGTTGAGACCATGGGCCCCTAGTATGGGCCCTTAACCCTGGGATCCTTATACCTACTATATACCCTATATGTACCTTAGGGGTCTTTAGAAAGGCCTAAGGGTCCATATTAGGGGCCCACGCCTCTAACCTTAGACAATAGAGAACTCTAGTTGAACGTTGTGGGCGGGGCCAGCTGCAGGGTCTGGAGGTTTCACGTGTTGTTGTTACCGTCATGAAAAAGGACAATCCCGTGGGGCTACTAGGGCAGCCTGAGTCATCACTTCTGATTCTCTTAGCACTGAAACATGCCAACGTTAGGGAACACTGATGACCACTACTTCAAGGCTCATGGGACTTAGTAACTAGGGTTATAAATAAAGTAACTATACTTATAACCCAAATTAGGGTACTTATANNAAGTCCCATGAACCTCCAAGTACCACGAGTTGGCAAGGCCGCTATGTTGCTGACAAACTTGGATCCCGACCGCCAGGTATTGAAATTGCTGCGAATCTGGACCTGCAGCGTAAGGAATGAGGTTGGCAAGGTCTGGAGTTTTTTTTTTTTTTTT